GGTCACACTTGCTACGCCGAACAGTACACCTGGCAGATTCTCTAGCAAAGTGACTATTCTTTGTCCTCAATTCGATATTGATGCCAACACGGATATGTGGGATGATGCTCTGAAAGACGACGACAGAGACAAAAAGCGAAAAGGTGAAGAGAGCAGTGGACAGCCTGAAGCCGGTAAGATTTGGGAGCGAGGGCGCAACTGGGTCAGCATCATCTTGGAAGTGGTTCCCGCTTCACTACGACTTGATGGTCAAAAGGACAAGAGCCCATTGAAGGAGGATGAGGACATTCTTGAGATACCCATGTTTGTGAGAATGGAGTGGGAGCCTGACTCTCAGCAAGATGTCGGTGCAGCATCTGCAAAGGAAAAGGATGCTCAGGAGAGGAGGGAGCTGGCTTATTGGTGTGTGCTTGGAGTTGGCCGCATCAGTCACGATTGAACATAAAAAAGGCATGCACATGAGACATAGATCTAGATACCCAGTAATTGGACCAAGTCATGGACGGGAAGAAGTGTTTGAGTTGTCTTGTCAAATCATACGCAGCTTGCTTGTACCATTTATCAAGCTACTTTCTTTAAGACGCCAAGCCCCTTTTTTGACCAAAGAACCATTTGTGAAAAAACACTCCCAGCCCGAATCAGGTAAAAATAGTCATTTCTTCTATTTCATCTCGAAAGGCAACGCAGACTTAGTAGTCAGCGGGACCGCTCTGAGGGAACTCGAAGTTGACGTTGCGGCCTGTCAAACGGCGGTAGACCTCAGAGTAGGTGTCGAGGCGGTAGTCAACACCACCACGCTCCTTCTCGTCAAGGATGACCTTGAGGGTCTTGGAGCCGTCCTCCTTGGTGCGGACGCGCTTGCCGACGATCTCGACGGGGTAGGTGAGATCCTCGAGGATGGCGTCGTGGACAGCAGTGAGAGTTCGCGAACGGGGGCGCTTCTGCTTCTGGGTGTTGCGGGAGCGGGCGGATCGCTTGGGGCGGGGCAAGATGCGGCGAGAAGCGAGGATCAGGACATGGCGGTCAGAGAACTTCTTCTCGAGCTCACGGGTGAGACTGAGTAGCATTAGTATTGAGACGTTAGATGAGAAGGATGGGGGATATCTTACCGCTGCTGGACGCGGTGGAAGCCCTGCAGGGAAGGGACGGGGACAAAGATGACAATAGCCTTCTTGCCGTGGCCAACCTCGATCTAGTCAAGATCCCAAGTCAGCATGCGAGCTCCAGGACGAAACCTTGGACCGCTTCCCGTCCTGTTCCACAAAAGTCAATGATACTCCGGCTGGCACTCCTCCGCCCCGACGACATGTGTAAGCGCATCAAGTCAATTATCTCTCGAATATCGACGGAAAAAGTGCGCGGTCGGGAGGCGGAGAGGCCATTGCGAGAACAGTGCAGTTTTCTTATGTGGGAACAGGATTTCTCGAAACGAGACACAAGTTCGGAATTCTTTTTGTTTCATGGTATTCTCACCTCACGGGCAGAGACGATCTGCAGAGGTCGCAGGGCAACCTTGAGGTCGGAGGTGTTGGACTCGAGGTCGAAGAGAGCCTGAGCGATGCTGGTCTCAAGCTCGGAGGGGTTCTGCCTCGAGGGGCTGTTGGGAGCGATCTTGTTAAGGGCCTGGGCGCTCATTTTGACGGCTGGTTCGACTACGTGGGATTGACGACGACGAAGTTGATGGTGTTGCGCGGGCCGCTGGGAATTTTTGATAGTAGCCAATTTCGAAAAAGTCGCTAAATTGGGGTTTTCAACCCTCGCTCAATTGTGGGCAGTCCGTGCGTCGGTGAGGAGTTGATGCCTGAGGTTCGATTTGGGTACACCGAGTCTTACCTTGCGGCCAGTGGGTCTGGTCACCAATGGCCCAGAAAGGAAATCGAGTTGACTTACACAGCGTCCCGTGTTTCGTGGCTTGATGCAATGAAAAGAAAGCAATCAAGTTCAAGGTTGCACAGCACTTCAGAAGCATTCACTTATGAATATGCATGATTTCAAATCAACTCTGCTTGAATCTAAGACACGAAGTCGTGTAACTCCTGCAGCTCAACCACACTCACAACCACTTCAATGGTGGAAAACAGCCCCGAGACGTCCGATGATGAAACAATGCATCGTTTACAACATTCGTATCAAACAACCCTGATCCTCTATCCAGTTTTTACTGTTACACATTCTAACCCTCACCGCCCTCGGGATCCTCCTCATCCTCATCACCGAGCTGCTTATCAACATCCTGCTGCACCTTTTCACCTGTCGTGTCCCTAGCGATCTCGGCAGCCTTCATACCGCCAGCTGTGAGCCACAGGAAGTGATTTGTCTTGAACTGGTCAATCTGGTTGAAGAACATGTGAAACCTGTCGTGTCTTGTTAGCCTTGTCCGACTTGTGCATACGTCAATACTTACGAGTTATCCTTCTCCTCCACAGTGAAAATACGAGTGTAGATCTGCTTGTCCTTGAAGGCTTGAATCTTCTCTTCGTACTTGTCAAAGTCGATCGCTTCCTTTCCGAGTGACTCGGTGGCCTTTCGGTTGTAGTTGTGGAAGACGGGTCGCTCAAGCAAAAGTCCGAGACCGGGGGCCTTGGGAATGGCCATCTTTTGGTTCTGGTAGCTCTCGTTGATACGTTCCATGGGAGTGCCACAGCGAACGATCAAACTGGCTAGACCAACCATCTTTCGGATCTGGTGCATCATGAAGCTCTGTCCGTGGACCTTGAGAGACAGCCATTCTGTGTCGTTGATGATAATGGGCTTAGGGTTGACAACGAATGACTTGATGTGTCGCTTCGCGGAGGGGTCAAAAAATGACTTTTGAACAGTGTAGTTGTGGAAGTTCTTTGTGCCGTTGTACTTGTTAAGGGCCTCCTGAAGACGGTTCAGGCGCTCGGTGCTGACACGGTATCGTCGCTTAGCGGCAACATAAGCTGCCTTGATGTCTCGAAGGGCGAAATCAACAGGGCCAAGCTCACGGTTCTTGGGCTTGTGGCTCTCCAGAACAAGGCCAGACTGTTGAGCCTCGGGCTCTGCGGTTTGTTCAGCAGCCTCTCCAGCAGGTGTCTCAGTAGCAGGCTTCTCCTCTGCTGGTGCGCTCTCTTCGGTCTCTTTCGCAGCCTCCTTGCGTGCAGCAACCTCCTCATCATCCATAACGTGAACTCGCTCCAACACGGCGGCCTTTGTCTCAGGGTCTAACCGGGCCAAGATGGGCTTAATCTCCTTCTCTTCCACATCGGACCAGAAATCCTTGACATCCTCCATCCGAGCAGCCAGCTCATCCTCGACACCATGCTCCTTTGCCAACTCAACGAGTTTTTGGCCCAAGAAAGACTCGGGGTGAGGAGGCAAAAGACAGTAGCTAGGCATGAGGTACTCGTACCATCTTGAGTCGCAAGTCTGGTAACAGCTGAAGGCGTTGTTCGTTCGCTGGATACCCCAGATTCGAATCTGCTCAGGTAGTTCGGCGTTGATCTTGTCCACAATATCCTCGTCCTCAATGATAAGCTTCAAACTGATGACATTGCCAGCCGCATGCACACCCTTATCGGTTCGAGCGCATCGAACAAGACTCGACTTCTTGGGGTCGTCGGCATTGGCCTTGGAAATAGCGCTTGCGGCGACAAACGCCTTGAATAGATCGGCCTCAATGGTCTTCTCGTTGCCATTGACCTGCATTCCCTTGTAACCAGTGCCCGCATATCCAATCATGACAGCAACCTTTCGCTTGGGTCGTCGCTCCTCGGCAGCAATCTCATCCTTGGAGAAGGGGTTGTTGCTCGACTCGCCATCAGCCGAATCGCCCTTCTTGTTCAGTTTGCGACGCTTGAACTCCTTGAACTCATCATTCTTCTTGCGCTTGTCGCCCTTCTCACGACTAGTATCTGGTTAGCGCCGTTGGCAACTGTACTCATTTCACCAATTGAGGTCAGGACTTACCCCCATTCTCCGCGTCCCTTCTCTGATCGCCCTTTGCCTGGCTTTCTGTGGTCATGGCGCGGGTTGCGACGATTCTCAGAGCCATTGTTGTTAGAGGCTTTGTTGTTGTCGCCCGAGGGACGAGACTCGTTGGCGCTGCTCGCGGCAGGAGCTTCGTTATCTGCCGCCATGTTTGCATCGGTTGCGACAAATACGAAAGGTCGAGCTGACAGGAGAGAAAAGTTGTAGCTATCGCGCGGGCACTTTTTTTGGTTTGGTTGACGACGAGATTTTCGATTCGGGTGAGTGGGGCTTCCCGTTGGGGTCCCGGCGGGGGGAGCTTCATGTGTGGGGGCTACCCTGGATCTCGACATTGTCGTGTAAGTGCTGTCGAAGTATCAATGTTTCCATCTTTGCTTTCAAGTTTCTGTTGCTGCTCAGATTATTCAGTCTTTTGCTTCTTTCCATGAAATTAGACACTCTTACTATGCTTATAATAAAATTCTTCTTACAGACTAATGTTTCTCCTATGATATTACCGTTCAGTACAAAGTTATCCCGACCTGGCCACTATCTCAAGAACAGTAAATTTGCATAGTCAATTTCTTGATTAACCGTCCTTTAGAGGAGGCCGGGTCATTTTTACCTAAGCTAAGGCGAAGCACAGAATTGTGGTAAACAATGTGATAGATTTAGCGTAAATAACAGCCTGGTATTTCGTCCCTCAGACACATAATTCTAATCAGCAATGATATTTACACAGAACAATAATACTCTTTATTGAGACTATTTTACTATTACTACCATTAATCATCATTACTCGGTTGCGGTGTAGAAGACTTCACTACGATACAAGCTAGCTATTATAGATGATCATTACATGGAAACAGGAGAAAGAAGTAGTTGGCGATCTATGTGTTTAGATACAACACTATTCACCTGAGTGGACCGACCGGATCGTGAGGGATTGAGGAGTCAAATACGTTCACTGATTTGATCATTACAACTGGTCAAAGTTCATTTCATTCCAAAGTTTCTATTTGTACATCAATTCGTCATCAAATTAACGCTTTCACGCTTTCATAGCTCGTTTAATAGTTGGAGCTTCGACCAGTGTCAGAAGGGAGACCCTCCTCATCACCAGGCTCCTGATAGGTACCGCTGGGCTGTGCAGCACCACGGGTACGTTCTTCAATGATGTTGCTTTCGTCAATAGCATCCTTGTCATCGCGCTCTGGAACTGTGTTAGAGAGATTCCTGCACTAAGTTTCAAGAGTTGAGCATACCAAGCTGAGCGTCAGTGTCGGCCTGCTCTCCGTCGATGGGATCCTCAACTCGATCGGAGTCGGACTGAACTGGGATGGGCTGTTCCTTCTCACCAGGGCGAGAAACGTAAGAGTCGTCCTGGAACTCAGCGGAGGGAGCATCTTGAAGACCGTCGGAAGACATGATGAAAGTTGGTAGAGTGTGTGTGAAAAGTTGTTGTGGTGTAAGTGTGAGTTGCAGATGAGAGTGAATTCTGAGTGATGATTCGAATATTCTTTTTCTCCCACACGAGAAGACTCCTCTTCTTATACATTTCGTTTCTTCTCAACTGAAACACCAATTCTCACCAAGCACGACTATTCCGTCATGGCCCGCAAACGACAGTATCTATCCATGACGACATTGACGGATAACCACTTCAATGAATCATCTCCTCAGGACCAACAGCACGGCTCGCTACTAGCCTTGCTGCAAGCACTTCCGAGGCCGATCTTAGTGCCCCTGATCTCTTAATTGAAAACCTCGATCTGAGAGGTTAATCTCTAGATCAGTTGTCGCGTGGCTGGGCGATTGTGATGCAAGTGGCAAGCAACTAACCGCGACCGATTCGCGATTTACATGATCTTGACGCGTTAAGTGGTTTATCTGAACTGCAGCGGAGTTCGATCTTGGATGTCGTTAATGAGACAACGGGAGAGTTGCATCAACGATCGATGATGCGGAGGTATTGCTAGCCTTTGAATCGAGGTCAGTGCTTCAAGGGATAGATGATCCTCAGTGGAGTTTGAAGGGGAGATTGGCGAAAGAAGCAAATTAAAGACGGAATCTGATGTTGCTATCCGTGAATTAGGGATGTCATTAGATCATAGATGAAGTCATGTTTGTTGTGACGATGTCAGGGAACTGAGGTCTACAGTAGCTTGAGATTCAGGAACAGTGAGCTAAGGCTGAACTAACGTCCAAGCTTCAGGGAGAAGTCAAGAGCGTCATAAACACCAAAAAAGATTGTAGATCACAATGAATGGTAACCAATTGAAAGAAAATGCAAAAAGAAACTCTTTGATGAGACTGGGACTCGAACCCAGGAGGATTGCTCCACCAGGAAATTGGTGTTAAGGTTAACCTTAACCTGGCGCCATAACCAACTCGGCCATCTCACCGAGGTTGTTGATAGGATTTCAATGACCCATAACAAACTATACACTCTAGCACTCAACGATGCATGCATACCTGAGCTTCACTAAGCTGGATCTCTTAAAGGACGTGATCGCGTCAAAATGCATGTCATATCGGTCATCGTCGATACTTGATGAAGGGTCGCAGTGGGACATGGATTATCTGACCGTGTCACATTCCAGTCTGAAGCTCTCATACCGAGTCCTCCGCTAATGGCGGTGATGCGCATCATCACCATCAATTCATGCACAATTCACATATTCACCGCTGAAGCATCTACATTGCGCAAGAGTCGGGACAAACCCGACCTCAAGATTGCGCCCAGCTCAGTCTACGATGCAAAGGATCCTGATCTTGATTTCTCATCCATCTGCTTCTATGGTGAGAATTAGATATCATCTCCCTTGCAAAACCTTCTAGCTGCATATTTGTGCCCGTTGGGCCAAATCAGAAACACCAACGAGGCAGGATGTTTTGCTTTGTTTCCCAATTTCGCCACACCGCCGTAGAATGTCGCGATGCCCTCTGAAACAAGATCACAGCGCGCGCCTAGAAGGACAAGGCAGGTAGGAAGCGAGCCTGTGGCTGAGGGCATCTATGGAAACTGGTAGGGCCTTTACTCCGTTACGGCTTCTGTAGATGGCCCTGAACATGGGCACACCCTGTGATCTGTGCGAAGTACATGCATTCGAGTGGAAGGAAAAGTTCCGAGCCTGGTCAGTACTCCGTAGTGAGCCAGGATATGGCGATCCTCAATCATGACACGTCAATGATTGACCGTCGCAGAGTCCTGTATTGTAAGAACTAAGAAGAATGAGAGAGATGATGAACCAAGACCAAAGCAGAAGCTTGGTCATGTAGAGGGGGCAACGTGAGTTCAAAAGGGTTCCCCTAGTAGCAAGAATCATGGCATCGCCAGATTCCATTTGCCAACCATCGGATTATGGTTCAGCGCCATGGTCATGCCTCTGATGATGTGCTCCGGGGCCAAAGTGAGCAACAAGGTCTCGATTTGGCTATATGATCAAACATTAACTATGAGTCAATGCCAGCAAAGAAAACAAAGTTGATAAGTCGAAAGACACGGAGGTCTCGGATCAAAAGAACTCTCCTTTTTCTTGCGTGATTGTTGATTAAGTGATGGTTTATCAGGGTTGAGTGGTTGATAAGCCGCCAGGGTGAAAATGAGTCGACTCGGATCTCGGGATGGCGAAAGATTCATGATGACAAAGATACCGGTAGTGAGTGACATGGGACCAGGAAGAGGTCAATCGACATGGGAAAATCACATCATCTCAGGCGATATGTTCCAGAACAATAAGCGATCTTGATTAACTTGTCGAGGCGCATAGCATTTGAATTGATGACTCTGAGGTATGAGAGCTTATCGTATATCGTGGCTGTCTGTGGCGCATATGCAAGATGGACAACGGCCTATTAAAGAACGGAAAGTTAAAGAATGATCAGCTGCAGGCTTCAAGTCAAAGAGGGGCTGCGAAGTAAAAAGGAAGCCCAGTCTGTCAGCCCAAGAGAAAAGAAGACGTAAAAAAGAGGAGACTTGGGAAGAGAATTCTGACGATGGGGTCTTGTTATGTAACAGTGAAGAGGATACGGCGGCACTCGAGGATCCATTTTCTTTTCATCTGCCGACAACACCGAAAATACAATGTAAGTATGGAGTAACGTGGAGTGGATTATCGTATTCAAGCAAGAGACCACCAGTGACCAGTCGAGTCTAGCCAGTGCCATCCTTATTGCAGAAGGAGTTTTCTCTGCGCCATTAGAGGGTCTCAAAGGGTCCAAATCTAATTCAGTCATGCCCCGTCCACGCCCCGTTCTGGTGCATGGCTTGGTAGAAGCCAAGTTGCGATAGCGTCAGATACCTGGATGATGCTGTGAGAGGTCGTTCCTTGTCCCTGACATGAGATTGATGCTGTAATCCTCAAATTCCATATCAATTCTCATTGCGATGCTTCAGTGGCGAATGTCATCAACTTTGTATCTCTCAGCAGAGCCGCCATCTTGACTTACACCGACCGAGTGCCGTGTCTCAGCCCCACTTTTGTTAGATCGGCCGCTGATAACGCCATTTCGGTCCCAAATTTGAAAGAGTTTCCAGTGAGATGATTGAACAGAATCAACAAGGCCAGACGCCCTCCAGGGCTCAAATCAGTGCGGACAAAGCTGACAGGGGGGTAGGTACATGGCAACGTTATCTGGAATGGAAAGAAGGATGTGGTCGCACAAAAGGATGAGAAGAGGAAGCTGAAAGATAACACAGCGATAGAGAGCGTCGCAGCGATAGGGATAGGGAATAACACTGATATGAATTTGTTAGTCGCTATCTAAAACTTCAATTGGTTGACAGTCAAAGTTGTGGTCGTAGTGAAAGACCCTCTTTCCCTGTCATTCCCCCGCCATTTGGCCAGACAATTGGGTTGGGTGTTGGTAAAAAACGGGAATTTCTGGCACGAGAGGGGCCCTCCCCGACGACCCGAACCATCCTTCTCTCAAGGTAGGCCAAACGTCACACTCGATTGGGTCCCATCCAATACTTTGCACTTTGCACACCACAAGACACTCGTTGCCTTTTACAATCACAATCAGCCAACTCGAATCCTCTCGACAACCTTCGGAGACAAAAGAACAAATCACGTCCTGTCTCACCTCCTTCCACAACCCAATTAGCGTCCTTTGGAGCCAAGAACAATCGGCATAGGTAGTCTACCTAGTCTTGTCCTACCGCCTCTTGACCGGGGTGCTGTTGGTACATAGCACGCCATCCACCAGTCACTTTGCCTCAGATCCCTTCCCAGAAGCTGTCTGCCACTCTTCTTCCCCGGACCAAGACCCAGCCCAGCCCGGCCCAGCGAGTTACGATATCTCACCTTCTCATCGCGCGACTCCAATTTCCCACCCCCAGGCCCTTGCTTGTGTTTTACACCTTGGTACTCCGTACTGTACTGTACTTACATACATACTCCTGTGCCTCTGAGTCTGCGCCTGCGCCATGGAAAGCCCCTCGCTCGTCAACGGCCATCGGCCCTCCTCCGATACCTCTGTCGCAGCCCCCGGTGCTTCAACTCTTCTTCATTCCTCTATACCTACTTCACCTTCTGCTTCGCAACCTACTCCGGCTACAATAACAAATCCTACACATCGCCATGCTTCTGCGCCGTCCACAGAACTTGACTCATCCTCACCCCTTCCTCCTACAAACGGCCACTCTTTGAAAGTCTCCGACATCGACTCCGAATACCTCGACGACAACTCTTCCCAACAACCCTCTAAAAACAATTGCGATAGACACCGATCCGATCAAGAAATCAACCCACGTCTCGTCAAGATGCCTTCCGAATTGGTCGGCAAGACCGTCAGCCCGTTCCTCAAGGAACATATTCCTGGCCTCTATGCACCCTTTGGCAAGGCAAAGACTGCCATGCCTCTATCTCCCAGTCCCAACAATACCACTGCGATTCGAAAGAAAGATCCCAACAGCAAGTTTTGCTATCGTCACCGACCCGACTCAAAATGTCGACGCGCCGCCGACGAGACAAAAATGGGGTTCATTCAAACTGTAAGTCCAGTTCCAACCTCAACCCCTTCAATCACTTCTGCTTGTCGTGGCTCTTGGTCAAATACCCTGATCGGTTATGCTAACCTTCATGAAGGAACTAAACAGCCTTTCATCCGCAGACCAAGAAGCCATTACCCACGTCTGGTCTCTCTTTTCTGCTGCCCCATCAAAACATCGTGAGTTGATGCTACAGGGCATCATTACACAATGCTGCTTCCCCCAACTCTCTACGGTATCACGCGAGGTACAAGAACAACTAAAGATCGACTTCCTTGCCGCTCTTCCTACCGAACTCTCTTATAAGATCCTATCCTATCTCGACACAGTCTCTCTCTGCAAGGCCGCTCAAGTCAGCCGTAGATGGAGAAACCTCGCCGACGACGACGTGGTATGGCACCGCATGTGCGAACAGCACATTGATCGCAAATGT